CAAAGCATTAATATTGTCTAAGTTCTTGCATTAATTCATAGGTCAACTTCAAAACACTCATATATCTCCGTATAAAATTAATAAGGCGATTATGAACTATAAATTTAAAGGCCTATGAGCCTTATTTCCAATGCCCCCAAGTTTGCCTTAGTATGAGTTTGGAGTAAAATGTTATGATTGTTTTACTGGAACATACCCAGGCTGAAAAATTGGGCGAACTCACGTGCTGAATTGATGATCTACCGAATGAGTTAGTGAATCACCAAATTAGCTCATATAATTTTTCTAAAAAACATAATCTTCTGTACATTTGAGCGATCACCAAATTAGCTCACATAATTTTTCTGAAAACCATAAGCTTCTGTCCATTTGAGCGATCTAAAGTTCTAATGGGAAATCAATTGAGTAATTTTGCTTAGGATAACTCCAGATCACCAACTTGACCAACATAATTCATTTAAATGTCATTTTCTTTGATTTTTTTTATGATTTTCTTATGTTTCTAGAAGGGTAATATTGGCCTTTTACTCTAAAATAATTTTCCTAAGTCTATCCTACAACCTAATAACATTATTATACGTATAATAACTTTAAAAATCTCTGATTCTCCTTCTTCCAAAGATCAAAAGCTCAAAGAAAAGGATTTCTCCAGTTTCTCAAGTTTTAAAGGCTCCAGGTTAAGGATTCTCCTTAAGAATCCTAAAGTTTTAAATCTAAGTTCTCTCTGACCTTCATTTATAAGATAATCGCAAGAGAGACCATATCTAGGGTTTTAAGTCTTGCAATCAAATTTTTCTTCAACCCTCTTCAAAAGTTTTGTTCTTCCAGATATGTAAGGCTATCATAATGTTGAAGTAGTTCATACTCACGATTTATATCTATTTTCAAATTAGTAAAAGAGTAATCTAGGGTTCTATTTTGATATTCTTGAGATGAGTTGGCATTGTTTCTGAGTTCTTGAGTTACTGATTATTGAATTCTATTTCCTGATTATTGAATTTTTATATCTTTTGTTAAGATTCTTGAGTTAATTAGAGGAGGTAAATTTAAAGATTTTTCAGGTGTGAAATTCCATTTTATTTGAGAAGTCAAGAATTTGCAGGGATTCTTTGATTCAAGGAAAGGAAGATCAAAATCTAATGCGAAAAAACAAAAATAGATATGATGGATGATGCATTGAACTTTTTTTTCTCAGTAAGGATGGCACAAATTATCTCTATTTAAATAAGAGGTAACAACCACAACGTTACACCTCCAAAACTATATGGAGCCCTTCTAAATGACCTAAAATATATTCTATGTTAGTCTTTCTTGGCTAGTTTACTAGACTATATTTTCTCATTGAAGTGAGTGAAAGAAGTTGTGATGCTTGTAAGTGTAATTACTAATTCGTGACTATAATAGTATAAAACGATACTATCCATTTACTAAATCATCCTGTTAATGTCTATTTTTACGCATGTGTCACAGGCCTTTTCGGACTGGCGCGAAGACAAGATTTTTTCAATTAAAGTGACGGTATTGACTAGATATTATTTTTAATTTTTTGGATTCTCTACTTGGAACTGAGTTCATGGTGTTCCAGTTCGTCTTTTTTGAATCTCTAATCAAAAGAAAAAGATTCTTTATTTTGATCTACTATTTAGAAATTTTGCTAAAGAATTCTGTTGATTGAGGGGAAGGTATTCGGCATCCCTCGAGTCGCGTGGTTCTAGCACAGTCGTTTTTATTGACTTATACTTATTTATACTATCATTTGGAAATTATTTTAAAGGCACTGATTTCTCTTATTTTTATTCGTTGAACTTTTATTTGATCTTGATTTAGATACATAACCGTATTTTTGGTCTTGACAAGCATAACTGCTCTCTTCTCTCGCGTGCATCACCTAATATTCTCTATCTACGAATTTTAGTTTAAATTTAATAAAGTTAACTGTTAAAAATATTTGTCCCAAGGTATGGCACCGCATCCTTGAATTTCTTTTAGTGTCTAAAAAAAATGTGTAACCACATTCTTAATTTAAACAATTTTTTTTGAAAAGGGTCATATGTCTCAATATTTATCTATTACAAGACATCTTAAGCATTTTATTAGCGATTAAGTTACATGGTTACTTTTTATATTGATGAATACTATTTAAATAATAAAAGTCTAAAATCTTAAACAAATACAAAAGTATTTCATATTCAAATTCGATGTAGATGCATTTACATTTTTAGTATTCCAACAAGCTATGATAAAAGCGTAAAAATGATGTAACTCTTCATCTCTTAAGTTTTTTAAAAATAAATATTTCTTAATTCTAGATAAGTTTGACAAACAAACTACTAGAATAATTCTTTCAGGCATTTAACTGAATATAACTACACTTAACTGATAGTAGCTATTATACAAGATGGAAGATAACATAGACTAAAATAATTGGTAAGTATTTCAATATTATAGCATCAAAGTTCAACATACACAAAATGTGATCAACTTCATAACATTGGTGAGTGTGATTGAAATTGTGGGGGTGATGTGAGTGGAAATGGGTAACGAGGTGAGGTAAGTGGTAAGTTATTTTTTAAAATAAACTATAATTAATATTAGATAATAAATATACAAGAATAAATGTATGGCTAGTCTAAATTATAATTAAGAAATACAACCTTATTATTAAACCTAGAAAATACATTATTTTTATAAATTTCCATTTCGTTTTTTTTAACAACAAACATAAAATTTACCTTAAAAAGTGATTTTATTCTTGTTATTTTCAAATCTTTTAAAATAAACTTAATAAAATAAAAATAAGGTAAAAATTATTTAATTTAAAATATTTAAATTCTAAAAATAATGTAAAATCTTATGTTCAGTCAAAAATTACGTGACTACAACATGAACCCCTTTTTCAGAGTATTCATTGAGATCTTATTCATGAACCCCTTTTTCAGAGTATCCATTGAGATCTTATTCATGAACCCCTTTTTCAGAGTATTCATTGAGATCTTATTGGAAATCTTTTAAACAAAACATAATTTCTTACACTAAGTTTTGAGAAACTAAAGAGGAGTTTGAGAAAGTTCTTAACCAAGGTTTATGCAAGAGCATAAAGTAATTAAGTGTTTCATGAATGTTTTATTTTTACATGAAGAAAGATAATATTATTTTGACAAAAGTTAAAAGAATTTTCACAAAGATTAAGTACAGAGTAGTTGCCTCTTAAACAGGCCTCTTTTGAGTAATTATCTTAACCAGTAATGTATTACTATATAGAGCAAAGAGAGATCTTGTTTTCAAAATGATCAATGAGTTTCAAAAATATTTTAAAGCAGTAACATCTTTAAGAAGATAGTTTGAGAAATTATCTCAAACCAGAGAAAGAGTATATTTTATACATTTGAGTGAGAATATATATTATTGTTAGTAGTATGGAGCACCGATATGGAGGATAGTTCATAAAACTTGCAACTCTCATAAACCATGTCTTGCCAACCTGAGCACATAATCATACTTTTTAGATGAATCCTTATTTCTTAGTGGATCCAGTTAGTTGAGACGTTTTTCATCTCGACATGATATAGGATAATTCTAGAAGCATGGATAAGACGGTGTATCATCACATAGCTCATAGTGATTATTATTAGTTAGAGAATCTCCCAAGAGAGTTAATGTGTATTTTTATATATCAATTATTTATGTTGAGTTCAGAGATGAGTAAGTATGTTGTAAGAATTTAGATGATTTATCTCATTTATTGCTTTACATTCAACTTGAGTTTAATTTTATCTATTGTAGTTCTTTCATTCAGTTATTTTACTTTGACTATATTACATACTCGTATATTCAAATGTACTCATGTCATTCGACCTGCATCTAATTATGATGTAGATACAAGTGTTCATGATCATTAACAAACACTTCTTTGAGATCACTCTACACTCCAACTAGATTCTGGTAAGTCTCATTGTATTACAGAGGACTTCACATTTACTTTCTAGCTAATTAGTAGTTTTTGAAATATCGTTAGTCTTGTCCTGACATCCTTTCTTACTGGTAGAGGCTACATAGCTAAAAAGTGTTGAGGTGTCTCTCTGTATTTAATTTCTTTTGAGTTGTTTCACAAACTATAAGTATTGGGTTTGCGTATTTTCCAAACTTTATAAGTTGAGTATTTTGGTTTAAAAGATTTAATTCTATCTTTAGCCTATTTTTGTCTGAGTTAGTTTTCTCCTTGTAGTAAGCCAGGATGAGAATTCTTTGGAGGACCAACAATGGTTCTTGAGTGCGGACCACGTCCATGATATAGACTCGAATTGTGATAGAATACTACTCCAAGTGCAAGGTTGATACTCATAGTGTGTTCTAGTAGTACAAAAATTTTAACATCTAGAATATTAATTGCATGAAATTTCTTAGTTGAACCTCTCTTTTAAGGTTAAAATATGGTGACACTTGCCCTCTATTGGTTGGTCTACACCCGAAAATGGGTAAGTGCACATTTTGTTGCATAACCAAATTATGATATGTATTGTTTTCTATGTACCCATGCTAGTTTTTTTTACTGCCTTCTAGTGATGGTCTATATTTGATTTCAAAATCTATGTAAAAACAAAGATAAAAAAATACGTAATAAAATAAAAAGATTATGGTTGAGTTGGAAGATTCCTCAAAATGAAGAGTTTTTTAGACTCACAAAAATTGATCTTTTGAGTAACTTGTATGGTAAAAGTTTGAACACTTTTTATTCCATATAGATTGGTGACTGTGAAGAAGGGTGAAAACTTGACCATTTCAAAATCTACAAAGAAAAGTTCGTCCAACATAAAATATAGCAGTTCAAGTTGTCTATTACTAACAGTAAAAGTTAAGAAATACTACGTAGATCAGTAATACAGTTTTTAAATGAAAAAATAAGTATATTGCATTCAGAATCAAAAATGCCTAAATTATGAGTGTAATTCACCATTGACATTTGCTAACCTTTTTATTGCATTGAGGAACCTGAAGATACATTTGCATAAAAAAAATGCAGCTGGAACTGATATAAGAAACTCTAGTCATGTCTTGAGACTTAGTCATTCTTGCTTTATATGTAATAAGAATGTCTTTAGTTATATGCTAAACGTATAGCAAAATATACTATTTGAAACTATTATGAGAACATAAATTTATCATTTCGAAAATATCCTCCCATTGTAAATAATTATCCAAAATAAACGCCCGATCTTTCCTCCACCAGTGGAGTATATACTTCCTCATATATACTTTAATCCTAATAGCATTGAAATTAAACCAACAAGATTGAGCTTCTTTCTAAGAATATCTTACTTCTCCAAGAATCAGCCTGTCAAACTAATGATTATTGAAGTCTCTTCATTGAGCTCAAACCTGTGATGTACCAGTAGATCAGAATTAGCAAGTATTAATTTTCATATTTTGAACAAATCTATTAACTTCGTAGAGGGAACAATTATTGAACCTCAATTAATCAATCTATTAGGATAGATTGCATCTTCTCATTGATATCGACTTATTTTGCCAAATTTTTTGGAGAAGCACAACCATAAAACAAATTGAAATCAACGAGATAGTGCAATCTATCCTATTAAACTAGATAATTGAACTATACTAATTTCTGACCATTAGTTTGACACACCAATTCTTGAAGATATAACGTATTGTTAGAAAGAAGCTTATTCCAGTTGGTTTGTTTTCAATGCTACTAAAATGAAAATATATATGAGGAAGTTTATGTTCCACTAATATAGGAAGGATCTGGTGTTGCTTTCAGATAACACCGTTGCAATTGAAGGAGATTATTAATATGATAGATTTATATACGTTCTCATAATAGTTGCAAATAGTATATTTTGCTCTATGTTTAGCATATTACATTCTTATTCCGTATCAAGCAAAAATGAATGATGTTCAACACATGACTGCATTTTAGTATGTCAATTCCAACTCCATATGTTTTTATGTGAATATATCTTTAGGTTGCTCATACGATAAAAAGGTTAGTAGCTGTCATTGGACTTATAATTCAAACGTTATGATTTGTGAATGCACTATACTTATTTTTGAACTTAAAAAATTTATAACTGATTTACGTAGTATTTTCAAACTTTTGACAACTTAAGTTGCTATCTTTTTTGTTGGACGAGTTTTTCTCTATGGAATATGAAATACTCAAGTTTTCACCATCCTTCTTAGTCAACAACAATCTATATGAAATATACAATGCTCAAACTTTTACCATACCACAACAATCTATACAACTCAAACTACACTCTATGTTGTCCAAAATAAGATGTGCGAGTTGCATACAAATTACTCAGAAGATCAACTTTGTGAGTATAAAAACACTCCATTTCAAAGAATATTTGTCAAGATCGAATTCAAACACACACAATTGATGAATTAAGAACCGAAGAACTTTCAAGAGAAAGAGATTAGAGAGAAAGAGAGAACCAATATTTCATGGTAACACCCCGTGAGTAAACTTCCATGGCAGTGGGGGTATATATATTAATAAATCAGAGTATTTTTTGTTACAGAGAATAAATGAAGAATAAATAGTAAAGCCTAAAATTTAGGTCAGGGCGCTGCCCCAACCCCTCCTTCGGATATATATATATATATATTAATCAGGCTCCACAACCTAACAATTCTCCCACTTGGAGACTGATTCAATCATCCAAAAAATACATTTTCAAAAAAAATCCCTTCATCATCAACATCTTTACCGCAACGCAACATCTGTAGCAAGAACTGCATAAGACCAACCGAGGTTTTGCATAACCCTAGTTTCCCAACATCAACACATTTCGTCAACATGTCTGCCAGGTTCTTTGCACCCTCTATCTTTTCCAAGCACATATCACCATCCTCCACTGCCCTACGAGTGAAATGGTATCGCCTTCTGATGTGCTTTGTCTTTGAATGATAGACTGGATTTTTCACCAACTGTATGGCACTCTAGCTATCTGAGTAAAGAATCTTCTTGCTCTGCTTCTTGCCAAATTTCTCGAGATAATCTGCCAGTCATAGCATCTCTTTTCCAGCTTCAGCTATTGCCACATACTCATCTTCAGTAGATGAAAGAGAAACACACTTCTGAAGCCTGGACATCAAACTCACTGTTGTTCCACCTATGGCGTAAATGTACCCAAATGTACTCTTGCTCGAGTCAACATCCCCACCAAGATCATCATCCACAAAACCCTGTAGAGTAACCTTGCCTTCTCCAAAACAAAGTGAAGTACTGGATGTACCTCTCAGATATCTCAGAATCCACTTCACAGCTTCCCAATGCTCTTTCCCAGGGTTCACCATGTACATGCTAACAACTCCCACTGCATGTGTTATATCAGGTCTAGTACAGACCATAGCATACATCAAACTCCCAACTGTTGAAGCATATGGAAAAAGTGTCATATGATCACGCTCCTCGGCAGTCTTGGGTGACTACACCTTTGACAATTTAAAGTGATTTGACAATGGAGTAGTCCTGGGTTTAACATCATTAACCTTGAATCTGCTCAGCACCTTCTCAATGTACAACTCCTGAGATAGATTTAAAGTGCCAATAGATCTATCCCGAGAAATCTTCATCCACAAAATCTGCTTCGCCTGACCCAAATCTTTCATCTCAAACGCTGCAGATAACCTTGTCTTCAGATTCTCAATCTCCCTTATGCTAGATCATGCAATCAACATATCACCAACATACAAGAGTAGAAAGACATATGAATCAGTGTATTTCTTGAAGTAACAACAAGGATCCTTTTCAGCTTTCCAGAATCTACTCTTGGTCATGAAGGAGTCAAACTTCTTGTACCACTGCCTTGGTGCTTGCTTTAGTAAATAGAAGCTCCTGGTGAGCTTGCACACCATGTGTTCTTTTCCTGGAACCAAAAATCCTTCCGGTTGTTGCATATAGATCTCTTTGTCCAGATCTCCATGTAAAAATGTTATTTTTATATCCATTTGCGATAGATGCAAATTCTCCGATGCAACAATACTCAACAGAATTCGTATAGAGGTTAACTTCACAACAGGAGAAAATATATCAGCATAATCAATACCTTTCCTTTGTGAATATCCTTTAACCACTAAACGAGCCTTGAACCTTCTTTTGCCATTGGTTCAGTCTTGATTCTGATCACCCACTTGTTCAGCAAAGCTCTCTTCCCTGCAGGTAACTCAGTCAATACACATGTATCATTCTTCACAAGTGACCTCATCTCATCATCCATGTCTTTCTCCCACTTGATCGAATCCTCCACATGTAGGGCTTTAGTAAAAGACTCTGGTTCCCCCTCATCAGTCAGCAATAGATAATGTAATGAACGTAAAAACCTATCTGGTTCCCTGATGGTTCTGGATGATCTCCTTAACAACTACTCAGGTGTAACTTGCTCCACTTCAGATTCTTCAGTAGGAGTTGGTTGAGTATCTGCTCCAACATCTCTGGGGTTACTCTTCTCCAACTCAACCTCAACTCCCACTTGCTTTGTAATCTCTAGAACCTTCTGTTCTCTGTCCTTGTACAGGATAAACTCATCAAATGTCACGTCACAATGTCTTAGGATCTTTTTGTTCATCCCAAAACTTGTAAATAAACAAATCACAACCATAGCCTATGAAGTAACACTTCACAGCCTTGGCATCAATCTTGTCTCTCTTTTCTGGATCAACATGAACATTAGCAGTGCAACCAAAAGTCCTCAAGTGTGAGTACTTGAGTTCTTTTCCTGTCCACACCTTCTCTGAAATCTTGAACCCTAAAGGAACTAATGGTCCCCTATTGATCAAGTATACAGTTGTGCTCACAGCATCCGCCCAAAGTGTTTTGGGCAGCCTACAGTTTATCCTCATACTCCTTGCACGCTCATTTAATGTTGTGTTCATTCTCTCAGCAATTCCATTCTGTCTTGCCTTACCACGAACTGTTCTCATCAATCTGATTCCCGCAGCTGCACAGAATGCCTTGAACTCTGATTTGTCATACTCTCCTCCATTGTCAGACCTTAGGCATTTGAATTTCAAACCAATGTAATTCTCAACTTCAGCTTTCCACTTCTTAAAAGTTGCAAACATATCTGACTTATGCTTCAAGAAGTAAACCCATACATTCCTGCTGAAATCATCAATGAAGGTAACATAGACTCTGGATCCTCCAAGTGATGATACTGGAGATAGTCCCCAAACATTTGTATGGACAATTTCCAACCACACTTTCTTTGGCTCTCTAGGAGTCTTTGTGAAGCTTACTCTTTTCGGTTTGCCCATAACACAGCTCTCGCAAAGACCCATATCAACAGGATTCAGACCCTTTAATGCTCCTTTTGCAACCAGCATCTTCATCCTTTAGCACTCATGTGTCCAAGTCTGTTGTGCCATAGACATGAACCAGAATCACTTTCAGCAATAGCGGCCATGTTAATACACCCTGCAGTGTTGTACAAGGTTCCAGATTCGGTGCCACGAGCTACTACCATAGCACCTTTCACAATCTTCCACGAACCTTTCCCAAACTCCGCTGCATATCCCGTGCTATCCAACTGACCAACAGAGATCAGATTTTTCTTGGGCCCAGGAATATATTTGACATCCTCCAATGTCCACTGGTTTCCCGAGGTGGTCTTTATGCAAACATCCCCATTTTCTTCAATCTCTAAGGCTTTATTGTAAGCAAGATACACCTTTAAAAAATTTCCAGATTTGAAATTTTGGAACAACTCTTTGCTTGGAGACGAATGGAAAGATGCACCAGAATCCAAAATCTATGATTCAACCGGGCTGTTTAATTTAAGGATTAGAGCATCCCCAAAGTCCTCTGCTGAATTTAAAGAATCATTGTCATTTCCAAATTTCTGATTTTGTTTCTTCTTTGGCTTTGTACAGCTCGTCCGAAAGTACCTTTTTTCTCCACAGTTCCAACAAGTCACGTTTGATCTGTTCGGGGATTTTCCTCGATTCTTTGATTTTGATCGACCATGTTGATTTTGTCCTTTCGTCTTACTTCTCCCCCTTCGGTCAACGCTGAGAGCACTGCCTGATAAATCTCCCACTTCTCGTTTGCGAATACTTTCGCTAAGAACAACATCACGGATTTCATCAAACTTCAGTTTCTTAAATCCACAGGAACTGCTAATCGCAGCAACAACAGTATCCCAAGACTCAGGCATAGATGACATCAAAATCAACGCCTTAATTTCATCTTCGAAATTAATATCCACAGAATTGAGTTGACTCACAATCATATTGAACTCGTTTATATGATTAGAAACAAATCCATTCTCACACATTTGTAAATTGAACAATCTACGCATCAAATATACCTTGTTCATCGCCGATGTTTTTCATACATGTTTGACAGTGCCTTTAACATACCGAACGTAGTCTTCTCCTTCACGATGTTGCGCCACGTTTCTTGACAAAGTCAATTGGATCAACCCTAGAGCCTGGCGATCCTTGAGCTTCCACTTCTCCTCCGTCATGGATTCCGGCATCACCCCGGTCAACGATTCGTGAAGATCTTCCGGTACAGATAATCTTCGATCTGCATCTTCCAGAAACTGAAATCGGATCCATCAAACTTCTCGATTCCAAGCTTTGAACTATCCATCTTCAGTTATCGTGTTGAATCTCTTTCGCTCTGATACCAGTTGTTAGGATCGAATTCACACACACACACTTGATGAATTAAGAAAAAAAGAACTTTCAAGAGAAAGCGATGAGAGATCTAGAGAGAGAAAGAGAGGAACCAATATTTTGTGGTAACACCCCGTGAGTAAACTTCCACAGCGGTGGGGGTTTATATATTAATAAATCAGAGTATTTTTTGTTACAGAGAATAAATGAAGAATAAATGGTAAAGCCTAAAATTTAGGTCGGGGCATTGCCCACAACCCCTCCTTCGGATGGGGGGCTCCTGCCCCCCATTACCCCCTGGCAACCTCACCGCGGAGGTTAAACCGTGTAAATAGTTATATATATTAATTAGACTTCACAACCTAACAATATTCCAATTGACTTTACTCTTCTTATTTTGTTATTT